TTACAAGCAGAACCTCTTGAGCCGCATCACCAGGAACCCCCGTTAAGACTTTGCTTCGAAGGGAGGTCACGGTGGAGTCCGGTGTTGTGACTGAAGATCTGTGTGGAAATTGTGAGAAAACCTGCAATTTGATAGCCCCGCGAGCTGTGCAAATGTGAGATCACACTTATTTGACAAGAGTGTGAAACGGGGGCTCGAAATGCGTGTGATCACTGGCGGTGTGTGCCAGTGGCTTGTATTGGTATTGATGTGATGGCGAGTGTGCGTGCGTGGTTTGTCCTGAGAGAACATTCTTCTGGTATTCCAGTCTACTGACTCCCAATAAAATGTGATATATTAATGCCTGATATATTGATGCCCATTGATATTGATGCCTGCCTCTGCCTTTATGTTTGTGTTTGAACATGACAAAGGAATGCTGGCAAGCTGAGAGAAACACTAGCACTTAAATGGTAGGGGTGTACAAAGGCAAGTACTGGTACTGGTACTTCATTACGATCTCACCAAGATTGTGAACCTATTGAGGCGTTACAGCATGTAATTAATCCATTGCATGTCATTATATCAGCTATTCATTTTGGCAGTGGGAGCTGGTGTGTGCAGCTCATTAATGGACATGCTCAGTATAGGCTCACATTATATGGGTTTGCAAAACTGTTTTTCCCTAAAGAATTCTGAACATATAGCTTATTGTTACCGATGCACATTGTACTGTCTCCACAAATCTCGTAAGCTCCTGAGCAATCAAGTAGTCACTGCAACTTGCACCGGATGCTGGGTGCTGAGAAAGGTGGAAAAGTATTGCTGTTGGTGTCTTGGATAGCATTCGATAATTTGTTTATCATGAGCTTGGTGCGCACTGGCAGTTTCATCACTCGCATTTTGCCCAGCCAACCATAACTACATGCACTTGTCATGTCTACAGCCTTGTGCATGGTCAGCGTGTCTGCAGTGTCATTTCACCGCACGTAAAATGCTCCTGGTTTTTTAGTAAAACAGCCTGATGGCTGCAGCATATTGCATTACCATGGAAGTGAAAGACATGTTTGCATCTTTCTCACCTGCGTTTTCTGGGTTCCGAAGCAGGCGATTTCTACGATAACTTGCCTCAGCTGGTGTGGTTCAATTGCTCCAACGGTGCCCTGACGACGCGAACGAGTGGTAAAATGAAATTTCCAAGAGGAATTTCTTAGGGTCTTCAACTAAAAGTGTGTACACTCTCCGTAAACGTGCGTTTCCAATGTGTTCATAAAAACGGTCATGAGCGCCCGTTTCTCCCTTTGCTATCCCATTGCAAAGGTTACAAGAAAGCGCATGTATCATGTTCTTCCGTGTGCAGACTCTCTTCAGCCAATTGGCAATGTGCGGCGAACCCTGTTCCCAGCTGGACACGCTGGGTTATCGAGGGCTTATCGAACCGGTATGAGCTAAAGTGTAGCGACACGAGTCCATGCTACGCGAAAGCAGTGTAAATCGTACTAATGGTACAGTGGCATTCACTTGTTTGCACAGCTTGCAATTTAAAGACGGGGGTTTCGCAAACGACAATTTGCTTGTTTCAATTTTTACGACCGCATCGTGAATCTCATGCGTTGTTAAGAAGTGCGCGCGCATGATTTTACAAATGGGGGTTAAATCAAACATGAAAACTGAGTTGAGCGCGCCGTACACTCGTGTAGTGTCCTGCGTGTCGTTTAAAATAACCGCATAGTCTCGATGCTTTAGTAATACGAACCTGCTTCACATTTTTAGCTCAACAGTAACTTGTGTGCGCATTAATGCAATATATTTAGTAGGCGGGGAGTGTGTGTGTGGGGGGGGGGCGTGCTGCTGGGCTACCATGTGCGCACGACCCTGTTTTGCAATTGAGAACGTGCCGCACAAGAGGCGGACCGCACTCAGCGTTCTCAGTGTTCGCCCTCACGAAAAAGATGGGATTTGTGTGATACGTTCTCACGAATGATCAGAAGATGCACGCATCGCTTTCCGTATTTGTTTTATAAGGGCGGCCTTCTTAATAGCCATGGGGGTTGTGCCGAATTGGAATGCAGTATGCTGGAAGCCAATGGTTTGAAGTAAAGTGCAGCGTTAGATCTTCAACCCGATTGCATTGCAAAGTGGATATAAGGATTATAATCGAAACAGTTTGTGGGATGTGTTATACGGTGAAGCAATGAGTGGCGTGGTGTTGATAAATTTTTGCGAAGAAATCTGACCATGAACACAGCTTTCTTACGTCTCGTGTTTGGATGTTTCCAAATAATCATTGCTTGTTTGATAACGTCGCTGAACCAGTGCCTCCTCGCAAACTGGAGGTCGATTATTTTCAACCAACTCCCGACTCATAGTGCCGGAACATCGCGAGCGAAAGACCTTTTCGCTCATTTTAACTACAGTCTTGTCAGAGAACTGGTGGCGCTATGAATTAAGGGGAGCATCCTGGCAACCCGTTTAGTCACCAGTCCGTTGCCTACTGTGGTGTTCCAGTTATCAGCATGTTTATTAGCACGCGCCCGGGCGGGGTATCAATTTACCCCCGCTCCCTACCCCCTCCCCCCCCGAGGTTTTTCCTGAATTATTTCCCAACGGCGCGGCGTAGCTGTGCCAAATGTTGCATAGCTACACAAATTTAAAGGCAGATCTTTTGGTTTCACACGTTAAGATATACCTTATAAGGTCACTGACCTATGGCAGGCCAAATTCAGCCACGGCTTCAGTGAAGGCAATTTATGGGGAAACGCTCAATCTGATGCGACAACGGAGTGTTAGACGACGCCATGCACCTCTGAGACAGTTTCTTAAACAGCACAAAATATTTAAGACGTT